TCCCCCAGGGGCAGCCCCTGTCCGTGGGGGGGCCCAGCTCCCTGCTGGGATTCCCCGTGGACAGGGACTGCTGCCGAAGCAGTTTCCCCTATCTCCCCCCCCACTGATTCTGTTAGGAGTGGGGGGAGGGGGGAGGCGACACCGCAGAGCTGGTGTTGGGGGGAACTGGCTTTTAAATAGGGCTGGCCGTGGCCAACGGGCTGCTGGACTTAGTGCAAGCCAGGACCGAGCCGGACAACTCTTACTACATTTAAAATGCAGAGCTGCAGCGCGGGTGCCTCCCGGAGCCAGTGTGAACCGGGATGCTCAAGCCAGCTCCTGGAGCTACCCCTGCAGTGGCTTTGCAGAGTGGTCTTTATTGACTAATCGTGTATTCGATACAAATTGTATCAACTACACAATTAGTCAGATAATTGCAATTTAACATCCCGAGGTCTGGGGTCTGGGACAGAGGTTGGGTGCAGAAGGGAGCTTGAGGTAGTTGACTGGGGTTCAGGAGAGGGAGTAGGGTCTGAGAGGACGTTTGGGTGAAGGGGGAGGTTGTGACCTGGGGCAGGGAATTGGGGTGCAGAATCCGGGAGGGAATATGGGTGCAGGAGAGGATTCTGGCCTGGGGAGAGGTGTAGGAGGGGGTGCAGAGTCTGGGAGGGAGTTGTGATCTTGTGAAAAGGGGTGTAGAGGGTTTGAGCAGTAACCTGGCATGCTGGGGTGTGTGGGAGTTGGGGTGTGTGGGGGGTGCCAGATGCAGGCTGTGGCCAGGAGATGCTTACCTAGGTGTCTCCCAGCCAGCAGCCCAGGGGAACCCTGAGACAGGCTCCGTGCCCACCGCAGCCCAAGGCTCAAAGTGTCTGGCTGCGCATATGTCTCTCTGCATTGTGTGCAGGGGAGAGAAGGGAAACGTCACACGCTGTCCCCACCCCAGCCCAATCATTGTCCCCTTCCTATCCACCCCATGGAGCAGCCAGCTGCTTGGAGCAGCCTGGGGCTGTGGCAGGCAGGGAGCCTGCGAGGTAGGTGGGGAGGGCCCCAGGCTGGATCCAAAGGCTTGGCGTGCCAGATCTGGCCTGCTGGCTGTGGCTTGCTCATCCCTGAGCTAACGTGTTAAGTGCACAAGAGACAACTAGGAGATTCAACAAACAGAAAGGGATGGGGCTATGTAAGGTTCCCTATTTGCCGTACTACTAGTCAAGACAATTCACCGGCCTCCATGCATCCCTGTTTCTCCTTTGTCATCCCTTGTACAGAGAGGTCCCTTCATCTCAGTGTGAGAGTAAGGTCTGGTCTACACTGGGAGTTTAGGTCGAACTTAGCCGTAGTAGGTGGATTTTCTAAACAAGGAGTCCATATCACCAAGCCCGTTCTGTCAACTTTAAGGGCCGTTAAAGTTGATTTTGGCACTCCTGCTTTCACGAGGAGTAACGCTAAATCCGGTCTTGCATGGTTGACTTTACGGTAGTGCAGATGCAGTACTGTGAAAGTTGACTTTCTTGGACACTGGGAGGTGTCCCACAGTGCCCTGTTGTGACTGCTCTGGCCAGAACTGTCAATGCTATTGCTCGCCAGGTGAACAGGAACAGCCCCGGGAAAATTTGATTTTCATTTTCTGTGTGGCCAGCGTGGCAGGCAGCACACCCGAGCAGCACAGCTGACCATGAGTTCCCAGGGTTGCCGATGAGCACCAGCATGGAGCGTGCAGGAGATCCTGGATCTCATTGCTGTGGGGGAGGGGAATTTGTTCCCGCAGATCTACGAACCAGAGAAAGAAATGCAGATATCTACGCCAAGATCGCTAGGGCCATGAGGGAGAAAGGAAACACCAGGGATGCCCAGCAGTGCCGAGTGAAAATAAAGGAACTGAAGCAGTCATACCAAAAGACAAAGGAGGCAAAGTCTGGATCATCACTGCAAACATGCCGCTTCTGAGGCAGGGACCTGACCAACTTTCCTAGCCAGTCCATGGATTCCTCCCAAGACACTCATCAGGCAGCCTCGGACAGCATGGATGAGGAAGACGAGGAGGAGAATGGTCAGCAGGCGAGTGAGGGCAAGCAATGTCACCGAGAGCCAAGAGCTTTTTATAACTTTTGAGGGCATCTCACAGTTGGGCCTTAATCCCAGGGAAGGCACTTCTGGTGAGGTCACATTTTTTAGCCTGCTAAACGTGGGTTAAGGCAGTTGGGTCTGATCTGTGGCGGCCACTGTGCCTAAACAGCAGTGGGAGGAGGTGCCCCTGGAACAGCTTGTTAATGTGTCTGTAGATGGAGCAGGAATCCTCCCTGCACATCTCCACAAAGCTCTCCTAGAAGGACTCTCTCATCCTTCTCACGAGGCTTCTGGGGAGGCCAGCGGTATTCCATCCACGGTAGGATCCTTCCCATGCCAGGCCAGCAGGAAGTGGTCTGGCGTCATTGCAGCACAAAGCATTGCAGCATGAGGCCCAGGTTTCTGGTCAAATTGAATCAGCATCAGCTCCCTGTCACTCTGTGTGATTCGCACGTGGCAACCTGGGTGAAGCAGGGAAGCTAATAGCTGATCCCTCTGCAGTAAACTTCTGTTTGCTCATCCTCAATGAATCATGTTGTGGGCCCCTGCTCTGCCGCCATGCCTGGACACCCTCTCTCCTACCGTCCACATGCTCCTGTGGGGAGAAAGTTGAGCTCTCCCAGCAAACGGGGGGTGCCAAACACACAGGCGCTGTGTAAGCCCTACCCTGCTGCTATGCTGCTGAAACCTTCCCTTTAAACACCCAAAAGCACATGCTACCACCATTCTGCACTTGCTTAGCCTGTAGTTGAACTGCTCCTGACTGAGGTCCAGGCTGCCCGTGTACGGCTTCATGAGCCATGGGAGCAAGGGGTAGGCTGGATCTCCAAGGATCACTATGGGCATTTCAATGTCTCCGATTTTAATTTTCGTTTCTGAGAAGAAAGTTCCAGCTTGTAGCTTTTTGAAGAGACAGGAATTGCTGAAGAGGTGTGTGTCATGCACCTTTCCTGACATCCCACGTTGATGTTGGTGAAATGGCCCTTGTGATCCACCAACACTTGCAGCACCATTGAGAAGTACCCCTTGTGATTTATGTACTCTTCGGCAAAGTGGTCAGGGGCCAATATGGGAACGTGGGTTCCGTCCACAGTTAGGGAACCACATTGCGGCAAAGCTATCCACTATGTCCTCCATGTTTCTCAGACTCACTACCCTCCATAGCAAAAGGGTAAGATTGCCTTGGCGACAGATCCAAGATTTCCCCACTTCGAACTGATTCCCAACTGACCGGTAGCTGTCATTGCAAGCTTCTGTATGTCAGTTGACATGAGCTTCTCCACTCTCAGAGCGGGTCTCATTCTGGCAATGCTGTGCTTCAGGGTGGGGGAAAGCCATTCGCAAACTTCCATGAAAGTGGCCTTATGCATATGGGAGTTGTGCAGCCCTTGCTGATTGTTCCATACCTGTGTCACTGTGTGGTCCCACCAGTCTATGCTTGTCTGATGGCACCAGAACCGGCGTTCCACTGTGCCCAGAGGATTGAATGTGGTGGCATTTGCCCGTTGCTCAACTCAGGCACTTCATGGCCTCCTGAGATTTGTCCTTGTTCCAGTGGACCCTCAATACACTCTGGACATACTCCAGCATTAGGCGCGCCTTGGTTAATAGCATTATCCTAATGCTTTGATGCTCAACTGGATCCACAGTGGGTTCCATGCTTATGCTGCTATAGCGTCTGCATGGAGAACCAGGGGAAAAAAAGGGTGTGAAAAGACTGTTTGATGTTGCTCTCAAGTGCGGGGGGAGGGAAGAGACGAGTGCATTATGGGACGCTGAGGACATGTACCCAGAACCACCTGCTGGTCCCAGTGTGCACTGAGAGCATAACCCGGAATGCAAAGGGGCACAGGCACTGTGGGATAGCTACCCACAGTGCATTGCTCTCAAAGTCAACAGTAGCCACCCTACTGGAGATGTGCTACTTCGAACTACATTGAATTCTTGTGCCCAATGGGGATATGTTCCTTTGACTTTACAAAATCGGAGCTAAAATATCAACCTTAATAAATTTGGCCTAATTCCTCGGTATAGACATGGTCTAAGTGTTCTCTACAGCTAGAGCTGATCCAGTATTGCACCTGGGGCTTATCTGATCCCCAGTCCTCATATTTGATGCTATGCCAGTGCCTGTACATCTGCCTGACGCAGCATTGAATTGTTGTGGGCTGCAGTCTTCGGTGCTGATCCCAGACTCTGTGTAATGTCAACATCACCCAATTCTAATCCCCTAGATGAGTATCTACTCCACCAGTCTTGTCTTCTCTTGGCCCAAACTTTGCAGTTAACCTTCCCTTTCATCCTTCTTTTCTCTTTTGTCCTTGCTCTGTCTCCCATATCCCCCCTACACCCAGAACCCACTTCCGGGCCTGCTCTATCCAATCTCCATCCTCTCCTCCACCTTCATAGCCCGTTTTAGGAGTTAGTTACTCCATTCACAAGTCCCACTGGCCCCTTGCTCTCCTCTGAAATGGTGGCAAGAGAGTGAGAAAGGATGAGCCCCACAAAAAGTCTGAGCCCCAAGAGATAAGGTGGCCCCATCGAGCTCACTTAATTACTTGTGTAGAATCATAGAACACTAGAACTGGAAGGGACCTTGTTACATCATCAAGTCCAGTCCCCGGCCCTCACAGCGGGACCCAGTACCATCTAAACCATCCCTGATCAATGTCTGTCTAACCTGCTTTTAAATATCCCCAGAGATGGAGATTCTACAACTCCCCTAGGCAATTTATTCCGGTGTTTAACCACCCTGACAGTTAGGAAGCTTTTCCTAATGTCCAATCTAAACCTCCCTTGCCCATTACTTCTCGTCCTATCCTCAGAGGCCAAGGAGAACAATTTTTCTCCCTCCTCCTTGTGACACCCTTTGAGATACCTGAAGACCGCTCTCGTGTCCCCTCTCAGTCTTCTCCTTTCCAAACTAAACTTCCTATGTTACTTCTATCCTTTGTTGGCTTGTGGCCTGTTTCGGTTGGGAACTCTGAGAAGAGACCTTGTCTCTGGATCAGTGTGAGGAGCACCTGGCATATTTTGGAGGTGTGTAATTTAGGGATGTAAGAGTAGTCGAGTCATCTACTCACATTCCCCCCCCCCCCCCACTTGCTGCTGCTGTATCAGAGGCGACGAAGGAAATAGGAGCCGGTGCTGAGGTGAGCTGGCTTAAAATCTGTTCCCCCCCCAGCACTGTCTCTGTTCCCACTCCCTGTTGCCTCTGTCGGAAGCAGCAAGAGGAGGGGGGCAGGGGAGGCGACTCTGGCAGCAGCCCCTGTCCGTGGTGGGGTCCCAACTTCCTGCAGGGATCCTCAGCAGACAGAGGCTGCCGCTGCAAAGCAGCCCTTGTCCACGGCTAGGTGCCACAGACGGGGGCTGCTTTGCAGGCAGCAGTACCTGATCCCTCCGGACGGGGGCTGGTACCACCTGGGCAGGGGCTGGTACTGCCAGGCCAGGCAGCCCTGCTCAGTCCCAGCTTGCACCGGGACCAAACCGCACTGCGGCTCTGCAATTTAAAAGGCAGGAGGCAGGCAGCCTGCTCTCCCCCCTCCTCCCCGCCCCCGCACCAGCTCCTCCTGTGTTTTAAATTGCAGCGCTGCAGTGGAGTTTGGTCCCCGACCCAGCACAAGTAGGCATTGAGCTAGACTGCCTGCCCAACCAGCTTCTACTAAATTTAGGAGCCGGGCGGGGAGGCAGCCCAGATCAGTCCCTGCTTGCACCGGGTTGGGGATCAAACCCCGCTGTGGCTCTGCAATTTAAAATGCAGTAGGAGCCGAGGGGCGGCTGCCTGCCTCCTGCCTTTTAAATTGCAGAGCGTTGTGGGGCTGCCTTCCTCTATCGAGTAATCGATAAAAATTCTATCAACTACTCGATTACTAGAAAAACCTAAATGTAACATCCCTAGTGTAAATGGGAAGTCCCGGTTCCTGGTGTCCTCGTGGAGTGCGGGCAAGGCTGTGGCTGGGCGGCCTTTTAAGATCTGTGAGTACAGAAAGGAGAGAAGGTTTTTTGAGGGGGAGGAAATGGTTCAACGCAGAGGACTGAGGGCTGAGTATCCGTAAGGTGAGAGGAGGTGGTATGTGGTTCAGGCTGGGGCACCGGCTGGAGATTTGGATGACCTCGGTTCTGTTGCCTCCCCCAGCCTGTGCGCCCTTGGGCAAGTCACTTAGCTTTGCTGGGCCTCGGTTCCCCAGCTGGAAGAGCAGGGAAGATAACTGACTCCTGTCTCACAGGGGTGTTGTGAGGCACTCACATCCTGTGGGGACCAGGTACAAGGACCTGCAGCAGGATGCGCTGGCAGTTCTGAGCTTTACTCAGGTGGATGGTCTGAGTTGGACAGAAAAAGAAGGGTCTTGGTGGGTGCTCAAAGGGGCAGCATACCTATCAGGGGCTGAGGGCTGTAGGGAGAAGAGCCTGCTCAGCAGGGAGCCTTCTGGGGTATGGCTAAGGAGATGGTATTTGTTTGGAGGAGACACAGGCCTCCCCTGCTGTAGCTGTGCACCTGGGCTGTGGGAGCCGCTCTCAGCAGGGCTATGACATAGCTCCTGCATCACAATGGCCTCATTAACACTTTTTCCCCTGCCCACTGGGGGTGTGCTTGAGCTAGCTTTGTGCTGGCAGGGCCTAAGTCACCTCAACTCAAGGGCCCGGACCCCCACGGCAGCCCCAGTGGTTAGTGTCACCGCTCATGACCCCCGCCTTGGGTTTGTGGTGAGGATGCAGTGAGACGAACCGGCAGCATTTACAGATACAGGCTGACCACACTGCTGCCACTAGCTCTCAGGGGATCACAGTGGGCCGGGCAGATGTGTACAGAGGCCACGTGCAATAGTCCTTTGCAGCTCTTGTGACTTACTTGGTTTTGGGGATGAGTGATGCTAACAAACAAATCTTTGTGACTCTTGTCACAGGACCGTGTTTCTGAGAGGGGGCCCAGCCATGGCCACTGGCGGGAAAAGCAGCCAATCTAGCGTCCATCATTATACCAACCGACTGATTAACGAGAAGTCTCCCTACCTCCTCCAGCATGCACACAATCCTGTGGACTGGTGAGAGAGAGCCTTCCCCTCTGCCCTTCCATTTTACCCACAGTGGAGGGTTCCATTTTACCAGCAAATGGTGGCACATTTGTAAATTTATTTCAGCTTAAATGTACAGCCAAAATTTTCCATGTGTTTGTGTGAGAGACAGACAGATAGATGCCCTGGTACTCAGGTTTGTGATAACCTTGTGGAGCCATGTGCTACAATCCAGAGCCCTGAATAGGACTTGATTATCCACAACTAGCACATTTATGGCCTCCCATCATATAACAGGCCCTCAACCACTGTAAAATATATAAAACCCAGAAGCTCCTGTGATGGAAGCCCCTTTCATTCTTTTCTCTCAGGTACCCATGGGGCCAGGAAGCCTTTGATAAAGCAAAGAAAGAAAACAAGCTGATATTTCTGTCAGGTAACCCGACAAGCAAATGCATTTCCCAATCATGGTTATGTAAATTGCTCCATAAGCCATGTTGCTTTGTCTCAGGCTCGTGTGTGAATCGCACTGGTGGTAGAACCATAGTTTTAGGGCTTGTCTACACAGAGGTTATTCTGTGTAATAAGATAGGGTGTGAACTGAAATTACTATAGCTATTCCGGAATACCTTTCTGTGCGGATACTCTTCATCCAGGATGAGAGCACTGTTTTCAGGTTGTGCTTAGTCCACCTCCAAAGTGGATTAAGCATGGTCAATTCTGGTTAGTTTCCATACATAGACTAGCCCTTAAATGGACGCTAGTTTAAATTGCGCAAAATCACACTCTGAAGTGTCCCTTACCTCTGTTTGCCAGAAACTGGGAATGGGGGACCGGGGATAGATCACTTGGGTATCTGTTCTGTTCATTCCCTGGCATTGGCCGCAGATGACAGGAGACTGGGCTTGATGGCCGTTCTAATGTTGTTATCCAACGGGCTCCTCCTTGTTTATGAGCCTCTATGGGCAAAACCATAGGGCTAGAGTTGGAAATGGCAGGGTGACCCTGCGTTCCCCCAAGGCAGACTCATTCCTTGCAGTTTAATCTCCAGGGGCTCTCTTCGGGAGAGCATTCCCCAGTTGATAGATTTCATTAGTAGGGCATTTGTTGCGCTGTTCAGCTTGGAACCTTTCTTTAATTGGCAGTGTTTGTTTTCAGTCGGCTACTCCACCTGCCACTGGTGCCACGTGATGGAGAAGGAGTCCTTCAAGAACAAAGAGATTGGCAAGATCCTGAATGACAACTTTGTGTGCATAAAAGTGGATCGGGAGGAGCGGCCAGATGTGGATAAAGTTTACATGAGCTTTGTGCAGGTGAGGAGGTGGGTCTGAAGTGGGACGATGATGAGGGAGGGGACATGCATGACAGGGGTTGTGAAGAGACCCTAGATTAGACACACACTCAGACACCAAGCAGATGGTCACTGATTCACGGATTTTCTTGCAGGCTACCAGCAGTGGAGGGGGCTGGCCAATGAGTGTGTGGCTGACTCCTGATCTCAAACCCTTCATTGGTGGGACATATTTCCCTCCCGAGGACGGAATTTACCAAGTCGGCTTTCGGACGGTGCTGCTCCGAATTGCAGATCAGGTATACGTTTTTCCTGTATGAGATTTTGTGGTCGGCGTTTGGATCCTCATCGGAAAAGTACAGCCCAGAAACCTGGGACAGGGAGGGAACTAGTCATTGCTATTGGCACTGATTGCTTTGGAGGGCTGATGGGGAAAATGGGATGTGGGGTTGGGATAGTGCAGACGTAGGTTGGGGGAACAGGCGAACAAAAGGTGGGGAAAAGTGAGGGGCCAGCTAGTGAGGCAAAACCCCAGTGGATAGACTCTGCATTGGGAAGAGGCACAGAGCTCTGGCTGGGTTAGCAATTGACTGGAATTTATTTGGAGAGGGGAATCGCTAGGTGTGGGAACAAAGAACTGGACTGGGGCCTGAAGACAGAATCTGGATTTGAATAACACAGGGAACTGCGTGAAGAGGGGACAAAGGCCATGAGCAGCTGATGGGGCAAGACTGACCTACCGGCTCTTTCATGGTCTCCTCCTAGTGGGAGCGGAACAAAGACGCCCTTTTGGAGAACAGCCAGAGGATTATGTCGGCACTGCTGGCCAGGGCTGAGGTTGGCATCAGCGGGGAGGAATCGCCCCCACCTTTTCCAGAGGTGATGGCCAAGTGTTTCCAGCAGCTGTCTGAATCGTATGAGGAGGAATACGGCGGCTTTTCGGAGTTTCCAAAGTTCCCCACGCCAGGTCAGTCATCCCCCAGCCGCGTCATCCCACTGAAAGGGTATGTCTACACTACCACTGTAGTTCGAACTAGGGCGGTAATGTAGGCAACCGGAGTTGCAAATGAAGCCCGGGATTTGAATTTCCCGGGCTTAATTTGCATAAAGCCGGGCGCCGCCATTTTTAAATGTCCGTTAGTGCGGACTCCGTGCCGCGCGGCTACACGCGGCACGGACTAGGTAGTTCGGACTAGGCTTCCTATTCTGAACTACCATTACTCCTCGTTTCATGTTTCACTAGGAAGCCTAGTCCGAACTACCTAGTCCGTGCCGCGTGTAGCCGCGCGGCACGGAGTCCGCACTAGCGGACATTTAAAAATGGCGGTGCCTGGCTTTATGCAAATGAAGCCCGGGAAATTCAAATCCCGGGCTTCATTTGCAACTCCGGTTGCCTACATTACCACCCTAGTTCGAACTACAGTGGTAGTGTAGACATACCCAAAGGGAGCAGCCCTGGGCACGGAACTGACCTCCGGTGCTTGGCTTTGTTATTGTATTGCAGTCAATTTAAATTTCCTGTTCACCTACTGGGCCCTGCACCGCGCATCCCCGGATGGCGCACGGGCCTTGCAGATGGCACTGCACACTCTCAAGATGATGGCCTATGGTGGGATTCATGATCACATTGCTCAGGTAGGAGGGGCTGGGGGTTAGATGCCCGGACTGGTGGCTCTTGGAGGCATCTTGCTTGGGTAGCACGAAGCACTCGTATTGGGAAGACCCTGGAGGTATGATCACACGGATGATCGGGCAGGTGCTGGGGCCTGGTGCATGTGTTTTCTTTCTGTCTCTGCAGGGATTCCACCGCTACTCCACCGACCAGAGGTGGCATGTGCCTCACTTTGAGAAGATGCTGTATGATCAGGGGCAGCTAGCAGTGGCCTATGCCAGGGCATTTCAGGTAACTCTTAGCCCGGGTGATAACTTTGGGCTCTGAACCAAGGCTCGGAAGAACTGGCTCCTGAGCAGAGGTCCGAGTTCAGCATGAAACTGCTCATTTCGAGCAGTGCTTGCCATGGGGAGGACTTACCAGCTGTCTTCTGCTGCTGAGAGAAACAGAAACAGACATGGTGTTCCTGGGGAGCCTCATCCCGGTCCCACATCCCAGCCTGAGTCACCTGCTCAGGGAGGGGAGGCTGAGCTGGAGGGGAGCTGTTGCCACGTTTGTCCCTGACAAGACGTTGGTGATGACGGGCGGGGGGAGGGGGCGAACTGGGACTCTCTGGCGGGAGGCTCTCCTGGCACTAGCTGCTGCCTGGTTCCGCAGAAGCGTGAGGAGAGCTGATAGGAGCACCTAGGGCAGCAATGAGAGAACATTGCTGAGCAGTTGGATTTACACAGCAGTATCTGGGGCGAGGGATTTCCGCAGGGGATGGAGAACAAGAGCCGGCTTGCCGGAGCAAAGCGTAGTGACACGGGCTTCCTGAGGCAGTGGGAATTCCAGCCAAGCCTGTGGGCGGCTTCTCAGCATCTGGGGACCCTTTCATCACCTTCCCCCTCCTGGCAGGCTCTGCCATCATCCCCTTCCCTGGCCCCATTCGCTGCTTTGCTCCCTAGGTCCTGGGCTTAGCCCTGAGATATTGGAGATATTTAAGAGCAGATTAGATAAACATCTATCAGGGATGATCTAGAATGGATGGTGCTTGGTCCTGCCGTGGGGGCAGGTGACTGGGGGCAGGTCCCTTCCAGTTCTAGTGATCTGTGATTCTTACCCTCCCTGGCTAGAGTAACACTGACTGTGAAAGCAGCACTCGGCCCTTTGAGAGCTTTACAAAGGCGGGGTGTGTGTGAGTGAGGAAGCACTGCCCCATTTTACAGCTGGGGAAGTTAAGGCACAGCAAGGTGAAGTGACTTGGCCAAGGCCACAGCTCACATCAGTGTCAGAAACAGGAATAGCCTCCAGACCTTTAATTTCCCCATGGGACAAGTTGCTCCAGTCCAAAACACCCTCTGACTCTCTGGCAGGCCCTGTCCATAGCACTGAGGGGAGGTTGGGCCGAGCTTTGTGCTGCCAGACGCAGCAGCAGCTGCACAAGCCCTTAGGAGGAGAGGCGAGAGGGAGCTCAGGTGCTGACGGCAGTTCGGTGCCAGGCCTTTCACGGCTTTTGGGATCCCTGCTCCTCGTGGCTCTGGAGAGTCTGCGGGTTGCAGAGCAAGTGCAGGGCCCCCGCGAGGCAGCGTCCTGTCTCCAGCACAGGTACTGCACCTGCCAGCCTGCCCCAGCCCTCACCGGAGGCTGTCAGCAGTGGGCAGCGCTGACCAGCATCTTGCCTAGGAGCCATGGGCTCGTTCCACACAGACCCTGAGCACCCAGCAGATGGGAAGGACTGGGCCTTGCCAGGCAGCTCTGCCCCACCTGAGCCCTTAGTCTGCCCTCAGCCCTTCCCTGACAGCAACTTCAGCTACAGAAGCTGTGCACTCTGAGATCTGGCTGGGGGTTTCTTAGGGATCCTCCCTCTCCAGCCCTGTGTGCCAGGGTCCCTCCCCCCGAGTGGGCACGTCTCAACAGTGTGTGCGACTTGGGCCCCACTGATCTCCCCTTAGCGACCGCCTTTGGAGTCACTCACTTGGATGCTTCCCCAGTGTGTGTCCCGGGGCGGCTGATCCTGGGTGAACCCTGCGAGGCGCGCTGGGGGAGTGTGTAGATCAGGATGTGCACACGTGTGAGCCACCTCGAGTTAACTGGCGATCGGTGAACCGGAGTTATGGCAGGGCCACGACCTCTCGTGTAGACACAGCTGGGGGTCTCGGCAGGTCCACTCCGCTCCGGTGTGCCAGGATCCCAGCGTGTCTCGCCGTCCCGTCTCAACTCTCCTTCCTTGGTCTTAGCCCTCTCTCTGCCAGGCTCAGCAATGCCCCCCTCCCTCTTCCTTCTCTCTGTTGGCAGGTTGGGGAGGGGAGCATGTGTGAGCAGCGGGAACCCCTGGTCTCAGATGGAGAGGCGGAGAACTGCAGGGTTGGCAGTGGGTAGAAAGCTGCAGATGGGATGGGGAACTTCAGGTTTGGGAATGCAGCCTAGGAAGGACTCCATGTGCTCCAACTCCACTGCCAGGAGCAGGGATGTCTCAGGAGCACTGGAGTCAGGCTCCAGCATTTCTCAGGCCTCCAAGTTGGCTGGAATGAGGAGCCCAGAGGAAGGTGCTGGCGAGGCTGGAGTTAGCTTGGGCTACATGAGCTGCCTGCAGGTAGAGACTCTGCCCCCATTACACAGAGCAGACTTGTAACGGGCTGAGCAGAAAGGTGTGAGCTGTCAGCCAGAAGCCCAGGGGAGCAGGGGGGTGACGCCTTCCCACGGGGACAGGGCAGAGTGAGGACACGGAGCCCACTGGGAGCTCAGTCCCCCAGCACTGGGATCTTGCTTCCCAGAGCCGCTCCCAGTCAGCAGGGAGAAGCTGTGCATGGCCATAGCAGAGCAACACAATGGCTAAGCGTAGGCTTCAAGTACAGTGGATCTGAGGAACTTGGTTTCCTGCCACCTGCAACAGGGGCAGGTGATGTAACTGGCCCATCTATTGTCTTGAGATCATCCCAGGAAACTCTGCTGGTCTGCTGCATAATCACTGAAGCCAGGAATTCTGGCCATGCCCAGCCAGTCTCTGGCCGGACGGGGGTTCCTGCCTTGCCCTGCTGGCCTCCAGAGGGTTTTGACACTGAGGTTTCAAACACAAACAAGAGTGGAGCTTCGAGTGGGACATTCGGAGCTTAACTTTAAGAGGCCAAAGGGCGTCTCTGCTCTCAGCAGCCCTGGTGTTTCTCTGGGATGACTCGCAGACCCCAGCAGAGTTCTCTGCCCTCCTGCCCAGACCCGGGGGTGCAATCCTTGAACATGCAGATTTGCTGTTTCCCTGCGTCAGCTCTGTAAATCATAAGCCCTTTGACGATCTTATCGGCACCACTTTTCCTCCCTTTATTATTAGTGGCATAGAATCCTCCTTGTGTCTTAAACAGATTTCTGGCGATGAATTCTTTGCAGATGTTGCTGCCGACGTTCTGCTCTATGTCTCCCGTGATCTGAGCGACAGGGTAAGTCAGCGCCCTAGCTCGGGTGTGGGAATCACTTGCCTCCTCAGTGCCTGTCTGGCGGCTCTGGTGCCTCTCTGGTGATCAGTCACTGACACAAGGCAGCTGGCTCCTCTGCTCCTGGTGCCAGGCTCCTTTGGGTCAGAACATGGTACCTGTGTGCCCCCCACCTCTGCTGGCTGCATCGGACTGGTCTGTGCCAGGTCTCTCTCGGTCTTGTCCGCTGCAGCTCTTCCTGCTGGCCGGGACAGAGGTGGGGCCATGCCTGTCCTGTCTAGGTATTTCCATGGCCCCTGTGGCTGCTGTACCTGAGCCCCTCCCCGTCAGTAATGGATTTAGCTTTGACACCCCTGCGAGGGAGGGAAATGTCTTCCCCAGTTTATAGGAGGGAACTAAGGCACATGGAGATTCAAGGGATTTGTCCAAGCTCAGACAAGAAGTTGAGCCACTAACTGAGCCCAGACCTCTTGCATTCCCAGACCAGCTTCCTATGAAGTATACTGATAGCACACTACACCTTGAGTATCCCCCTGCCCTGCTCCCTACAGTGCCCCCTGCTGGCGGGGGCAGAGATTTCTCTATGCCCAGAATATTCCCCCTGCCCTGTTCTCTGCAGTTCCCCCTGGTGGCTGGGGCAGAATTTCTCTATGCCCAGTGTATTCTCCCTGCCCTGTTCTCTGCAGTGCCCCCTGCTGGCTGGGGCAGAGATTGCTCTATGTCAGGCGTACTCTCCCTGCCCTGTTCTCTGCAGTACCTCCCTTTGGTCAGGACGATCAGTTACAGAGGCTCGACAGCCCCTTGCTAACGTGTGGGAGGGGGCGGCAGCTCGGCCTGGCCGAGGGTCTGCATTCATGGTGCTGCTGTCGGTTTCAGGCTGGAGGGTTCTACAGCGCAGAGGATGCAGACTCCTACCCAACAGTCAAGTCCAAAGAGAAGCAGGAGGGGGCGTTCTGTGTGTGGACGGCAGAGGAAATACGGCACCTCCTTCCGGAGCCTGTGGAGGGGTCCTCGGAGGGGAAGACCCTGGCAGACGTGTTCATGCATCACTATGGGGTTAAGGAAGGTGGGAACGTGAGCCCAGCAAAGGTGAGCTGAGAGAGGTGGCCTGAGGCTGTGAGAAGGGAGGGGGGAGGGGCACGGGAGGGCACTGGCCTCTGAACAGCACGGGGGGCATGTGGTGAAGGGAGGGTTCCAAAGTCGTCATGGGGCAGGGGGATTCTGGGAAGGCCTATGGAGATACTGGCACTTAGCCAGGCAGAGAAAAGTTGATACATGGCAGCTGGGGATACTGGGAGGAAGTCACCATGTGGAAACAGAGGCAGCTGTGTTCAGTGTTCCCTGTAAGCTGAGCACTTGGGCAGCCACTCAGGAGAGATTCAGATGCCACCCAGCTGATTAGCAGAGGGCCCACAGTTAGGTTTGTGTTTCTACTGGTGGTGCACATTCACACCTGCCTCGGTGCACACAAACATTTTATTCTGCACATGGATGGAAAAAATCTCGTGGATGACAAAGATTAGAGGGAACATTGCACGTTGGTAGATGGGGTTATTGGGAGGAAACCACGCTGGTGGCTGGGATCCTGGGTGTGAGTGGTGCTAGCCCTGAAGCCTGGGGAGGGAGGTGCTGCTGGCCTGGAGCTCCTGGACAGAGCCATGTCCAAGGGTAGGATACTCACCCACTTGAGTCTGTGCTGGGAGACTGTTTCTCTGTGCAGGAGGGAGGCTTCTAGAGAGCACAAGTGGAGGTCCAGCCGGGGCTGCGGCCCTGTCTGGTCCCTCAGACGGGAGCTGCGATGCTGCGGGCATCTCTTTCAGGACCCCCACAAGGAGCTTCAAGGGCAGAACGTGCTGATTGTGCAGTATTCCCTGGAGCTGACGGCAGCCAGGTTCGGGCTGGGCTTGGAGCAGCTCAAGACATTGCTGGCGAAGAGCAGAGAGCGGGCTCGCCGGCCACGCCCATATCTGGACACCAAGATGCTGGCCTCCTGGAACGGTGAGAAGGGTCCCTCCGGCTCAGGGGAGTCGCTTGGTGTGAAGGTCTTCAGCCAGCGCTGGGCTCACGTCCCTACATGCACGGACTACACAAACCCTCATCTAAACCTCTGGAGGGTAACTGCACACCAGGGCTGGGTTATAGAGTCTGGGGCCCTGGTGCTCCCCATGGCATGGACCCTCCCTTGCCCCCCACTGCATGGGGCACTGTCCCCAAGCGATGGCTCCACACCTCAGTTGGAGGGTTCTGGGCCAGCTCACACCGCATTGTGCTGTTGTTTCAGGGGGTGTGCAGACTCAGGCAGGTGCCAGCCACACTCGGGTCGCATGGTCAAACTTTGCTGGGCACCTCTGAGGGCTCAAAGCTTAGGGCTTTTTCAAAATGACAGCTGGGACTCAGCTGTTATCACATGACCCCAGGAGCAGGTTTCCTGCCCCCCACCCTGTGGTGCAGGGCTCTCACCCCACGCTGCCATAATCACATCGCTCCAGGAGCTGGCAGCCCACCCAGACTCAGACCAGCCGAGAGAGCGATTTGAGGGAGGGGTCTTTGAATTAGCTGTCTGGACACCAGGAGGCGCTGCAAGAAATGAGGCAGGGAGATACCCAGGGGGTAGACCAGTCTGGCCCAGCCAGCAGCTGGCAGAGAGGAGCCTAGAATCCCTTTTGGACCCCTCAGGTCAGCACCTATAGGCCAGGGGTGGGCAACCAGAGCACACCAGCCGAGAGAGCGATTTGAGGGAGGGGTCTTTGAATTAGCTGTCTGGACACCAGGAGGCGCTGCAAGAAATGAGGCAGGGAGATACCCAGGGGGTAGACCAGTCTGGCCCAGCCAGCAGCTGGCAGAGAGGAGCCTAGAATCCCTTTTGGACCCCTCAGGTCAGCACCTATAGGCCAGGGGTGGGCAACCAGAGCACAGGGGCCACCTGTGGCCCGTCGGGGTTCTGTGGGTGGCCCACGAGACATTTGGTTTACTCTTGCCCATGTGCAGGGTTGACAGATTCCACTGGTTTTTGTCTGCGTTGGTTTTTTCCTACCGGTGTCACTAAAGAGACACGCACGTGAAGCGAGGTGCGTGCTGACCGCACACCACATTGGCTGGGAGAGCCAAGTGCTCCCTCTGCATCCAGTCAAAGCCCTGCTACAGCTCAAGCAGCACATACCAAGTACGCAAGCGCAGTGAGCAAAAGTCCTGGGAAATTGTCTTGGCTATGACAAGCTTGCAGCTGTAAAAGGGCCACTCATGTGGCCCCCTCACTGGCCTAGTTGCCCAGCGCTGCTTAGTCCAGGGCTGAAATTCCTTCCCTTGCTCCCTGCTTGGACTTGTCCTTTGTCTCTGCCCCCTGGCCTGCTGGTCCCCCTTGTAGAGCCTTCCAGTGGGGGAGTGGGGCAGAGCTATGTCAGGCTGCGGGGGGCATCGTGGGCATACTGAGGTGAGGGGCGATGGCTCGATGGGTCCCTGCCTTTGTTTTTGTTGCTTCCTTGCGCTGGCCCTGCCAAGGGATCCTGTCCTGGGAGCCCAGTGGCAGGGCAGCTCCGTTCCAAACAGGGCTAAGGACCGCCGGCCCTTTGCCCTGTGTCCCCTTTCCAGCCCTCATCCCTCTTCCCCAGCCCCATCCACAGGCTTCCCTTGCATCCCCTCCTTCCCACCCCACTGCCTGTGGCTTCTCCTCCCCTGTTCTCCTGCTGATGGGCCCTGCCCGGCTCTGCTTTGTTGGGCTGTGATCTTTCTTCACTTCTGGAGCACCTCTACTTCCCTGGGCTAAGCTGAGAGGCTCCCAGGGAGCGTCCACCCTCCTGGGAAGACAGGACAGAGCCCCTGCCTGTCCTGCAGGCCTGGGACGGGGATTGCCTTTGTTCCCGGATGCCTCACTCTACCTCACTCCTTTGGGCCTTGGTGTTTCTCTGCCAGAAGCTGGGTTATAAAAGCAAACCCAGGGAGTGAGTGTGCTCCCAGTTGCCAGCAGGGGGCAGCAGATCCTTTCTCCTGTGCTCAGAGCAGCCTTTTTGAGGCTCCCTAGTGGTCCGTGTGGCACAGTGGGGCTGAGAGGCTGTGGGTTCAAGTCCTAGGTTGGGACTGGATCCTGCAGCCAGTTCTGACCCTGCTGCCCAGCATGGGCTGGGAGGGGCCAGGGTTCTGTCGATGTCTGGTCCAAAGCCAGGTGTCCTTGGCAGGTAGTGAGCTCAGTCCTGACCTGCGATCCCTCCCAATGAATCAGGAGCCAGACCCGCTGCTGTGCCTGTGTGTAGTGACCACAGGGCCTGGCTGGAGCTCTACAGATGGGAGAGACTCAGTGCCCCACCAAAGGGCATTTTGGAGCTTTTTTCCTGGCAGCTGTCACTCTGATGAGACGTGAGGTTCTCTGTGGCTGATGCTGGTGGTCAGAGCCCGGGGCTGGGGCCTGCCCTGCTTCCGGCCTGGCTCCAGCCTCAGCAAAACTGAGCCAGATGTGGAGATGCTGCCCTGGTGGCAGCCGGAGTGAGGCTCTGTTCTCTCTGACCTGTGCAGGCCTGATGATCTCAGGTTTTGCTCTGAGCGGGGCAATCCTGGGCAAGGAGGAGTACGTCTGCCGGGCCGGGCAGGCTGCCGACTTCCTGCGAGGCCACCTGTTCGACGCCAGCAGCGGGAGGCTGCTGCGGAGCTGCTACCGGGGCAAAGGCCGCTCGGTGGAGCAGAGGTGAGTGAGAGAGGAGACGCTCAGCACGGCGAGGGGGAGCGGGGCAGAGAAGTAAGGAGTCTGTCTGTCTGATCGGGTTGCCAGATGGTTTCAGAAAAAATACCGAACAGAACAAGAACAAAACAACAACAAAAAAGGACCCCAAGAGTTCTTAAGCAAAAAACAAACAAGAACAAGAACAAAACAAAACAACAACAAAAAAGGACCCCAAGAGTTCTTAAGCAAAAAACAAACAAAAAAAGCCCCAGCGTGGCCCCTTTAAGAAACGCGTGGTGAGGCTTTTTGGCCCTACCAGGCAGCTGGCGTCCTCCTGGCATCTTGCCTCCCTGCACAGGGCCGGACAGCTCCTCTGCAGAACCCAGTAAGCACTAGGGTTGCCAGGCTGCCTCCATATTGAGCCGGACAGCCTGGGATTTTTGCCTCCTGGCCGGGGAAAAAAAATCAGAAAGTACCGGACATTTTAGGTGTCTGGTATTTTCTGAATTTTTTTACTGGACAGGAAGTGAAAATACTGAACTGTCCAGTTCAATACCGGACACCTGGCAACCCTACTGTGTGATCAGTCTGTCTCTTTAATCTGCCTCCTCTGTCCTGCTGGATTTCGGAGGTGGCCACTGTTGTGAAGTGTGGGCTCTGGTTTCTGTGAGGAGCGGGTTCTCTGCATCCCTTTGGGTGCCCTCTGCCCCATTCATTCACAGGCCCCAGCTGTTTCCTTGGGGGCCCTCACAGCGCCCAGCCTGCAGGCAGCCAGAGGGGTCGCTGTTACCAGCCCTGGGGGACTGCACTCCCTGCCTTCCGGCCCTCCCCCTGCTGCCAGGCTGGAGAGGGAGAGGCCGATGCTGTCTGGTGAAGCAGGACATTGTCACTGATCTAGCAGACTGGCCGGTTGGGTTAGGCCTTGGAACGAAAGAGCAGGGGAGAGACAAAAGCAGGGTCCCAGCCAGGCCATGGGGAACGTGATGCCCTGGAGCCCATGGTAGGTTGAGAGAACTCTGCACACAGCTGGAGGAACCCTGGCCATATGACCGTGCAGATATCTGGTTTCACAGATCTGTCTCCACACCGCCCTCTGCCCGTGTGTCCCTTCAGCTGTCAGTCTCCGCATCTCGGGGTGCGGTTCTGCTCCGAGGGCGGATGCTGCCGTCTGGGGCAGGTCTGTTTCCCATGCGCGTGTGTGTGTGTTTGTTTGGGGCAGATTAATTCAGCTCAGGATGGATGGGCTCCCAAGAGAGCTCAGAGGAATTAAGGTCAAATCCTCTCTCCTCTCCTTCTTATCTTTCCTTTCACTTACCAAAGGCGCCTCCTCCCTGCTGAATGACAGCTCAGCCAGGGGGCTGAGTACAGGAAGCGCCAGTGTCTGCACAGATCAAGAGTGGGCAGGATCAGTAACAAACCTGCATTTATTATGGGTCGGCACTAATTGCTGCCTAGAGGAAAACATTCAAAGGGACTGCTCCAACCAGCCCCCCCAGCCCCCTTCCTTTCACTTACCAAAGGCGCCTCCTCCCTGCTGAATGACAGCTCAGCCAGGGGGCTGAGTACAGGAAGCGCCAGTGTCTGCACAGATCAAGAGTGGGCAGGATCAGTAACAAACCTGCATTTATTATGGGTCGGCACTAATTGCTGCCTAGAGGAAAACATTCAAAGGGACTGCTCCAACCAGCCCCCCCAGCCCCCGTGGCCCGAAAGGTGCTAGTTTAGCTGATGCAGGGGGAGCACTTTTGTGACAGTTCATCCTGTCTGCAACCCCCGCTGGCACCGGGGAAGACTTGAAGTGTGATGGTGCAGGTTGGTACACGCACCTCCAACGCGATGCCACCCCGACACCTGGTATAGGCCGGGGCAGGCTGCGCACACGTGTGTACATGTCCCCATGAGCACATCTGCACGTTAGTGCATACAAGGCACACGCATGCGAGGCGCGTGCACACCAGCAAGTCAGTGCAGATACAGGTGTGGCAGTGGTACCTGCATGGACCCTCATGACACCCACATTCGCACAGGCCCCCTTGATGTCCAGGCGCAGGACCCCAGCAATGGGCACTTCCGTAATATTTGATTTACAGTCTGACGAGCGTGACAACAGACGCCCCCCTTCTCTTGTTCCTTCCTTGCCACTGCGCTGTCCTAGGCAAACACAAATTAGGCTTGTGTCAACAGGGCTTAAGATGGTTTGAATGGAAGGTTATTTGCCTGGCTGATGCCTGACTGCAGCGTGGGATGTGCTGCACACGGGTTTGTTGACCCTGTTATTTGCCTGGCAGAGCGCTGGGCTTGGGGCGGTTTGGAGGTTGTATATCACTGTCCTCCAGTGAGGTGGGAGTGCCGGGTTTCTCTCACCCCGGCCTGCGCCACATGCCAGTGGGAATGTGATGCCAGGGAGATGGGGAGCTAATCACGTTCAGTTCACCCCCCTCAGCCCTGGGGCATCAGTGTTGGGAGACTGAACTGACCCTCGGTGGTGCTGAGCGTCCTCCTTTCTCACTGATTCCAGGGGACATTGGGGGGCTCTGTACCTTGTGCAGTCAGAGGAGCCGGCCTTTGGTTTCTGTGCGTGTATCCGGGTGGTTACTTTACTAGCCATGTGGGAGCTGGCTGGGACCGTGTGCTGGCAAGATGGTGTCAGGTTACAAACAATGGGCCGTACCCTCAGCTGGTGTAAACTGGCTTAGCTCCAATAGTCACTTAGCTGAGGCTCTAGACCAGTGTTTCTCAAAGCGATCCGCGGTCCCATACTGAGAAAGCTGCTACCGGGCCGCTCCAGTTTGTTTACTTACCGGCTCCGCAGCCATGGAGCCTCGCGGCTCCCATTGGCTGTGGTTTGCCGTTTCAAGCCAAGGGGAGTTTGAAAAGCTCCGCTCTAGGTAATAACAGCTAACCACAACCCCCAATGGGCTGCTGAGCTGCCAATAATAGCTGAACTGCAGTCTGCTCCAGCCACAACCCTCACTGCCAAGTCACCCCATCCCATCTCATCTTCACGCTCCATGCCACTGGTGTAAGGAGTTCCCGACCGACAGACTTCAGGTCATAAACTGCCCACCAGCTGGGGTCAGGGAGGCTCCATGGGGCAGTGTCCCCAGCTGGGTTCCTCAGGGGAGTGGGGGATCATCTGCCTTCCAGTATTAACAGGCATCGAAGACCAAGGATCATTCCAGTAGGGTGACTCTCACCTTCTTCTGTCTTTCCCTTCCCTGTAGCGCTGTTCCCATTCAGGGCTTTCTGGAGGATTATGTCTTTGTGATCCAGGCTCTCTTTGACCTTTATGAGGCCTCGCTGAACCAGAGCTGGCTGGAATGGGCCGTGCAGCTCCAGCGCAAACAAGACGAGCTCTTCTGGGACTCCAAAGGCTTTGCGTATTTCTCCAGCGAGGCTGTGGACTCCTCTCTGCTCCTCCGCCTGAAGGACGGTAAGCGCACTGTGGAGCCGGGCCCCCAGACTCTTCTGGAGAGCGACTAAGTCTTGAGAACTCGTCGGCGTGTCCAGCCGGGCACGGTTGTGTTGATGTGCAGGACCAACAAGAAGCTGGGCCGTAGTTTTCTTGGGTTGTTACTCGTGGATTCCACCAAGAAGCAGCAGAGCCAGGCTTTGTGCGATGGGGCCCAGCATGGGTATACGAAGGGGAGCTGAGCTGCAGGGTGTTACTGGTCAATGCTGGTACTTGCAGGTCATCCTGTTCATCCTCTGTGGTTGTCCCAGCTTATACAGAGAGTGTCCCGGCTCTAGCCTGGAGCCTGGGTCTCCAGCATGGCAGTACAGAGCACTCATCCTGTAGCCACTGACGTGCCCTGCTGCTGGGAGTTGCTGGGGGCCTGGTGAAGTCCAACAGGCAGCCTGGCAGGTTTAACTTGTCCGTGCTGGGGCTGAAACAGGCCTCAGGGAAAGTTTTCCCAGCCCCTGGATTTTTCATGTGCGTGGCTCAGGTCTCAGGGTGGCGGACATCTCCCTGAGTGTGTCACAGAGCAGCAGCCCTGGGGAGGCTGAGCTGTGCCCAGCACAGGCTCTTTGGCACCGTCCTGTGGGCATGCCAGGCAGCCGCACCCCCTGGGAGCGCTGCACCGGGGGCACAGGTGGCTTGGGTGACAGGCTCTCGTCTCTCTGTAGATCAAGATGGCGTAGAGCCCAGTGCCAACTCTGTGGCCGTGACTAACCTGCTCCGGGCAGCCTGTTACTCTGGCAACATGGAGTGGGTGGAGAAGGCCGGGCAGATCCTGGCGGCCTTCTCAGAGAGGCTGCTGAAGATCCCCGTGGCCCTGCCAGAGATGGCCCGGGCCACCGTGGCCTTTCACCGCAGTCTCAAACAGGTAGGGAGTTTGGCCAGTGGATTGGTGCAACCAAGGATTCACCTGCTACTTCCCCAGCCTGTGATAGTGGTCCCTCCCCATCCGGGCTGAGCTCCGGGGCTTGCAGGGATCTGATCTTCCTGTGTGAGCTCCCTGAGTCCTGACCCCCCTCGCCACTCAGCCACATGGCAGGTGGGCGGATCCGGCCCGGGAGGATGAGTGGGATGGGGAGAACGTGAAGTGTGCAGGTGAGTTAAGGACAAAGATCGAGAGGGAAGAGAGGACTTCCCAGCACTGTCTGTGAGAGCCTCTTGTCCGCCTCCAACTGATGGGGGAGATGAGCAGAGATTTGTGTATTGGGGGATTGGCGAGAGGGGACGGCTGTGTCTGTGTGGGTTTGCGCTTGCCTATGTGCACTTGTCCTTGTGTCTGGGTGTGCATCTAGGTATGTTTGGGGTGCACATGTGCTTGTGTGCATGTGTGTTTTGGCATGTATGTAGACATGTGTGCCTCTGTACTGTTGGGTTTTGCTATGTCTGTGGGTGTGTCTGTGTTCAGTGTGTGCGTTTGTGTGTGCACAAGTGTTGCTGTGCATGTGTGTGCATTGGGGAGGGGAAATGCAAGACCAGAGTGAGCCCTCTTTGGAGTGCTGTCCGGGCCCGGTGGATGGCGGAGTCAGACAGAGCACTCCCAGATGGCTGGTTAGAGCCTGCCTGTCATCCTAGTTCTTAACCGGCTTTAGGATTGAAGGCAGGCCACAGGCAGATCAGTGGGGGGGGAGGGAACGGAGTCCCTCCCTCCAGCTTTCCCTTGCTTTAATTGTGCAGCTCTTTGCACTGTGAGTTGCTCTGTTCCAAGCTGGTTCCTCTATGAGTTGCTCTGTTCCAAGCTGGTTCCTACAAGGGAGGCTCCTGTGGTGCCAGGTGGTGACACAAGGGGCTGGAGGTCTGCCTGGACTTGCTATCTGAGGGGAGGAAGGAGTGTGTGTCAGGACCCAGCTTTCGGGCCCTGAGCCAGGCAAATTCTGGCCCTGCTGTTCTGTGGGGTGGTTTGGAGTCGCCGGATGGCTGGGTTTGAAGCCCTGCTAGAGGAATATCATCCATACACGGCAGGTTCCAGGGCACCGTACAATGGTCATGAAACCCCACAGCTCCCATGCAAGGGGCCTCTGTGCCTGGTCCACGGCGAGGGGACACCAAGACGCAGAGCCATTAAGTAACAACACATCCGTGAGGGAGCTGGCAAGAGAACCCTGGCCCTCCAGGACTGTAAGCACCAGTCCGGCTTCCTCTCTTCAGTGGTGCGTCGCACACGTACTGACCTAAGTTCCCTCTAAGCTGTGGGAAGAGCCTTTTAAGCACCACATGAGCGCTGAGGGCAGCCCCTGGACCCGACCCAGCCCAGCCAGGCACCTGCTGTGGGTGTGGACCTTTTAAGCACCACACAGGCACTGAGGGCAGCCCCTGGACCCGACCCAGCCCAGCCAGGCACCTGCTGTGGGTGTGGGAGCGGTGCCCTGCCCCAACCAGTCTGACCAGGCTTAGTCTGAATTGCTGGGGCCCTTGTGGCCCAGAGTTAGCTGGGTGGCGAGACGGCCGCACCAATGCGGATGATGATTCGTAGCTGTTGGCAAGTGCTCCCGGGGAAGGGATAGGATTGTCTGCCTGCCACTGGGGTGTTTAGGGCTGTAGGGCCTACCCTGGAGCCTGCAGAGAGTCCCAGGGAAGTGAGAAGAGAGAGCAATGCCCGTCAGAGCCTCCCCCTTCCCCCCATCCCCCTCTGGCTGGCTGGAGTGTGCGTAGCCCCTGGCCAGGGGTTCCCCATTTGGGAACAGCTGGTGGCTAAATTCTGCCCTGTATGTTGCATTAGGCTAATACCGTAAGTGACTGACGAGAAGTGACTCTGAAATTGTCCCGTGACCATCCCATGAACTCCTCCTTTGCTTCTCCATCTGTTTCTGGTTGGCTTGGTCCTTTGCAGGCTCTCTGCTCTCTGCCTGGCAGATGGGATGAGCGAGGCGGAGATGAATTAATTACAATGATGAAAAGTCTCAGAGGGGCAGCTGAATCAGTCTGGAGCTTCCAAAATAATCCCTGCTCCTGTGGCCCTTTAGAGACTGACAAATGTATTTCTATAGTAGCACAAGTTTCATAGGCAGAACCTACTCACCTGGGCTGTGTCTACACTGGCATGAATTTCCGGAAATGCTTAAAACAGAATACTATTCCGTTTTCAGTTTTTCCGGAAAAGGAGCGTCTACATTGGCAGGCTGCTTTTCCGGAAAAGCCCTTTTTCTGGAAAAGCATCTCTGGCCAATGTAGACGCGCTTTTCCGGAAAAGAGCCCCGATCGCCATTTTCGCAATCGGGGCTTTTTTCCGGAAAAGACTACTGGGCTGTCTACACTGGCCCTTTTCCGGAACAGTGTTCCGGAATAAGGACTTATGCCCGAGCGGGAGCAGAATAGTTTTTCGCTTTTCCGGAAAAGCCCTTTTTCTGGAAAAGCATCTCTGGCCAATGTAGACGCGCTTTTCCGGAAAAGAGCCCCGATCGCCATTTTCGCAATCGGGGCTTTTTTCCGGAAAAGACTACTGGGCTGTCTACACTGGCCCTTTTCCGGAACAGTGTTCCGGAATAAGGACTTATGCCCGAGCGGGAGCAGAATAGTTTTTCCGGAATAGCGGCTGATTTTGTACAGTAGAGCGTCGTTGCTTTTCCGGAAATTCAAGGGCCAGTGTAGACAGCTCGCAGCTTATTCCGGAAAAGCGGCTGATTTTCCGGAATAAGTGGCCCAGTGTAGACACAGCCCTGGAGAGTCATTGCTGCAGGGCGCTGGTGGGGCTCTTAGGGCAGCTCCTGCTAATGGCCCTCCTGGGGATTTACACAGGGCTCTGCCTCTGGCCATCAAGCCTTTCCTCCATACCAGTGGCACACCTGGCGCCTAGAGGCTGCGGTGATGGGCACACTCGAAAATCAGAGACAAAGATTCCTGTCAAGCAGATGCTCTCCTGTCTCCGTCTGGCCTGCCCCCTCCACCCGCCTTCGGCTGCAGTGCTGGCAAGGGGAGCCAGGGGTCAGTGCAGGGTTGGGTAGGCGAACGTGTCCCTGCAGCCCCATGCACATGGCGCTGTCTGTCAGGGGAGGCGTGCAGTGGGGGGCTGGGCCGCTGGGGCTCTTGGTGCTGGGTAGCCCCCATTTCCTGGCCAGAGTCTCCCTCAGAATTCTCTTCTGTGGCCCACGTTGCTCCAGCAGGCGTGGCTGAACGTGATGTGCTTCCTGGCTGGCCCGAAATGTTAAACCGCTGCTGCGTCCCGCCCCACACACGGCTGCATTTCAGTGGGGAGGGAAGGAAGCTGCACTAGTGCAGCAGGGTCTTCAGCTGGTATATAGCCTCCACGGAGCACTGCGGGGCTGGGGAGCCGGCCTGACGTGGGTGGGTTTACAGCCCATTTCCATTCACCTTGGCGTTCCTTTCTCTGCGGACAGGTCGCTATCTGCGGTGCCCCAGAAGGAGAAGACACTAAAGATCTGCTCCGCTGCGTCCACTCCGTCTTTGCTCCAAACAAGGTACTTGCTCCACAGCCTGCCTAACTAGTGCAGAGTAGAGCGGCAGAATGACTTCACGAGTTTTGCTTACAACACACCTGTTGATACAACCTAGAATCATATTTGCTTTTTTTGCAACAGCATCACACTGTTGACTCATATTCAGCTTGTGGTCCACTATGACCCCTAGATCCCTTTCTGCCATGCTCCTTCCTAGACAGTCGCTTCCCATCTTGTATGTATGGAACTGATTGTTCCTTCCTAAGTGGAGCACTTTGCATTTCTCTTTATTAAACCTCATCCTGTTTATCTCTGACCATTTCTCTAACTTGCTAAGGTCATTTTGAATTATGTCCCTATCCTCCAAAGAAGTTGCAACCCCACCCAGTTTGGTATCATCTGCAAACTTAATAAGCGTACTCTCTATCCCAATATCTACATCATTGATGAAGATATTGAACAGTACGGGTCCCAAAACAGATCCTTGCGGAACTCCACTTGTTATCCCTTTCCAGCAGGATTTAGCACCGTTAACAACGTAGCCTCAAAGTTTTCAAAACTAAGAGTGTTGATCAAAATTTCACAGCCCGCCAGCCAACCCCGGGGCCCTGCACAGCCTGCCAGCCAGCCCCAGTAGTGCCCTGCACAACCTGCCAGCCAGCGTCGGTGTCCTCTGGGCACACAGGCTGGCTCTGCTTTCTCGCCTCTCCTCCCACCCCAGCTGTGGCTCTGTGCAGTGTGCTGATGCTCTTTCTCTCCCACCCATCCTTCCCCCTCTCCCATCCCTGCCTCTCTTATAAAGGGATGCCCTACTTTCCCCACACTGCCTCCAGCTGCTCTGCCTTGTTTATCAGCTTGGGAGGCAGGGCCATGAGTCCCACTCCCCTGGCGCCTCTCCCTGACACAGAGAAATGGCAGCCGGGGCTCTTTCTGTCAGCCCGTGCCCGGGAAATGAATCGTTACAGCGGCAGCGATGTGTGTTTACACGGGGCTCCCAGCGCGGCGGCCCAGGGAGAGACACTTGTTCCAGGGCGTATGTTCCCGGCCTGGCTGCGGGCACCAAATTGCACATGTATCTAGGTTACTGAACTCCGCAATCTAACTTCTGCCTGGAAATTCAACATTTTCTTAGCTCCTGCCCCATACTCTCGACTGTAACCCTGCAAACTTCTCTCTCTCCTCTGATCCCTCGATGTCCGTGCCAGGAAACCCCCAGAGACTGGTTCTCTTTTGAGCCCCCAAGCCTTAGATTCTCAGCCCCAGCCCCCAGGACCCGCCTGGAACTAAGAAGATCCATGTGTCCACTCTCGAGTGCAGGAGTTGCCATGAGCCCAGTGCTGGCCCCGCTTGCCTCGCCCCCGAGTGTCCTGTGCTATAGGCTGGGGGCGGCGCGGGCCGGGGATGTTGGATGCGACCCCTCTGGCGCGTGGCTGCTCCTTGCAGTTAGCTGTGATGGTGCTGTAAGGCGTTCCCCGTGGAGGGGGAGCAGACGTGTAACATCTTCCCAGGGCTCTCCCAGGGGAATGGAATTGATCCGTCACTCCTGATTAGGGCTGTGTCACTCTGCCAGCCCCCGCGTGGCTGGGAAGGAGCACCGAGCACCCCGGCTGGGGGCAGGGAGGAGCCACATGGGAGGGGAGCGGCTGTGCCGTGCGGGGAAAGAGCTGTCGGATTGCAGCGGAAGAGGCAGAAATCCCTCAGCGCGACAGCTGGACCCCGTGGCGGCTGTCACATCCAACCGCAGCGTCTCTGCCCGTGTGATTGGCAGCTTGCTTACTGGGCAACATGTCAAGCTGAACGGAACAGGGCAGGAGAGGCGGGCCGGAGTCAGTGCCAAAGGAGAAGAAAAGTTCATAGCTGTGAACAGCTGGACCGGGTTCGTCTCTGCAGAGGCAGTTCAGAGCCCTCGTGCCAGGATTCTCATGCCCAGCCACACGCCAGAGAGCTAGTGCCGGGATTCGCACCCTCAAGCACTAGTGCTGGGATTCACATACTCAGCTGCACCCTGGAGGCTCTAGTGCCAGAATGCCCACCCAACTGCACAGCAGAGTGCTAGTGCCGGCATTTGCACGCCAGAGTGCTAGTGCCGGCATTTGCACGCCAGAGCACTAGTGCCAGGAATCAGCCAGCAGCATGCTGAGGATTCAGACTCCTATCCTGGGAGCTCTCTGTGTACTTCTACAACACACTTGCTTCCTGCGTTGCTCTCGTAAGAACCTCGGTCCATGAACAGGCTGGTTCGACTCAGTAAGATCAGTCACTGTGTGAATGGACAACCCTGCCTGGTGTGTGTCTGGCAGGACCCTGCAGCCGTGATGCTCTCTGCAACGGTTTTGGTGGGGCCGTCACTGCCTCATACTCACTCCCTTGCTCCCCTGCTCCCCGGGCCCAAGCCATACTATTGGCTTTGCCAATCAGGCACTGGCTCCAGTAAGTGACTCTGGTCTGTGTCTGTAGCAGTCTGGGCATTTCCTGGCCTGTCTTCCCTGCTGCTCTGGTGTCTGCGCGGGATAGTCACCCCTTCTAGGCCACAGCACCATGCTCCTCCCTGCGACCCAGGGCCCCCAGAAGCTAATGTAGGTAGCCCAGATAGAGGCTGGGTGAGAGTCGGTATGGATTTACTCCGCTCCAGCGGCTCGGGCAAGTGGCCGGTTCTTACAGGGGGCCCGTGGTAGTTGAGCATCAGGTGTGCTGCAAGGTGGCTGAGGGTGCACAGATTCAGCTGGGGTGAGGCCCCTGTGGACGCAGGAGGATCAGCTGGTGTGGGGAGATGTAATAAAGGGACTGTGGCGTCTCGTTGCCCAGAGATTATTCTCCGGCTGGTTTCATGACCAGTCCATGGGCCCACTGAGCCCCGAGTCCTTGTTCTGCTCACAGGGGTCTCTTTCCATTCCAGCTTTAATCCTCCCTGGCTGTTGGGAAGGATTAAAGCCCGTGACCCAGTTTGCTGGAATTGAACGTACTGTGTTGGCAGCGGGAGGCTGCGTCCTCTGGTGCCACTGTTAATAAATTACTCCCTGTTCAACAGCTGTGCCAGCCTTTGTTCTCTGCAGCCTGACCAGGTTCTGCAAGGGGACGCGGGCGACAAACTGACCGGGGAGCGTGAGCAAATCAAATAGCCTGGAAATTCACTTCCTTCCCAGCTTTTTCATTCAGTTGCCTCCAACTGCAGCATGGCGCTTTGCAAGCCAAAGCCCAGCTGTTCAAGACATTCTCTCCAGCCCCACAGAGTTAAATGAGGAAGCATCTCTTGCTGCTCTTGGCAGGAGTGATGGAATTGCCCTAAACGTGGCAAGGAGGAGGGGAAGTCACTGGCACCACCTCTCATGCTGGCTCCACCCACACTCTGTTCTCTGTGGCCCCTTCACACCATCCCTTCCTTTTGCTGCTGCTTCCCCACCCCATGCTGCCCGACTCCTGAGCTGCCCCCAAGACCCTGTTGTCCACTCATTCCTCTCTGCCCCTTCCCCCACATTGCTTGCACTTCTGGCTGGTAAAAAGTGGGAGGGCATATCCCTCCAACCCCCCCATTTCAGCACTCCTGCCTCTTGGGTTTGCCTTCCCCGCAGTACAGGCAGCAAAAAGCAGGAGGAAGTTTGGTCCCTTGAATTGGTTTCACGTCACAGCCTGGACTTTTGCAGATGATTAAAATACCGAAATGTAGGCTCCTTGGCAACCGCCTGGGGATTCCATGTTTGGCCTAGTCACTGGGGTTGGCAAAGGACTGGATTGTGACCTCAAAGGATTTTGGGATTGGGAGCAGGGTAAGAAACTGCCGCTGGTTTTTGGTGGATGCGTGCAAGGAGGCTGAGAATTTTTTGCCCAATTGTTTGTTGACCGCAGCTGTCGGCACACAAAGAAACAAGCAGCCATCTCTGGGTTTAGCAGATCAGTGAGCAGAACCAGAGCAGCTTCCCCTCTGTCCCCTGGCCCTGCCCTTGAACACCAGCTGCTGTTCTTATCACTTGGCTCTCTTGGGCCCTTCCCTTTCCCCGCCTTACAGAAAGGAGCCCGAGTAGGGTTGCACCTGGTGATGGATCTGGGTTATCCTCTTTGGGGTTCCATATTTCTCCAGTCCCGTGGATGGATATTGATTTAAAACTACATGCCAGGGTTCTGTTACATGGTCCCGATTTGGTTCCTAGTGAAAATGGTGGCGGTAAAAGTCCTCTTCCCCGTCCTGCTAAATAATTCTGCCTCTCACATGATGTGTTATTTCCCCTGTGTTGCATCACATCCCAGTCTCTAGAGTCACTTTGCAGAATGCAGGGAGAACGAATTGGCTTTGGAGTTATTCCATGTGTCTGTAAAAGATTCCAGTCAAAGGAGGCGCAGAAGCCTAGGAGACTGACTGACTGACTCAACCAGAGACAAGGACAGCCTCAGCCGAGAGAGGGCTGAGCTTTGAAATGAACTTTCAGTTCTTTTTAGATCAGCCAAGTATGAGTTGCTAGTTCCTCAGCCGAACCATGGCACTGCTGAGATGCGAGCAGAGGCACGGACAGCAACCTGGTTTACATCCTGAGTAGCACAGTGACCCGAAGGAAAACACACAGGAAATGACAACAGCCTGTTGAACAGGAAGTGAAATGTGACATCCTCAGAATGGAGAGTTAACTCGTTGACCACATCATTCAGAGAGTTTGGCAGAGGGCAGAAACTCTGTTTCAGCGGGATTGCGAGATTTTGAAATGTGGTTTAATTTCTACTTGGAACAAAATGTAAAAATTGCAGAATTCTCCATGTAGAACAGGGTTACTCAACTTTGGAAACCCAAAGGGCCTCAATAATATTCACAGCACATGCCGAGGGCCGCAACTTAAGTGTGGTTTCATATACATGCAAATATATATGCAAATAGCTTCTTTCACACTGATGGGCATGAAGACAAAGCATTTCCCACAATGCCTCAGCACTCCAGGCACCTCCTCCCTGGGGGCTAGAAATGCTGACACCCGTACCCGTCTGTTCCAGCCAGCTCATGCGTTCACGTCTTTCAACGCTCACCCTGCCTGGGAGAT